CCTTCATGTCAAGAAATACAGCTATCGTCAGGCGTCGGAAAAGCTTGTCTATGTTTCAAAACGTGGCGCACTGTGGATATTTGGTCAGTACACCCAAGGCCGGGTCTAAAGCCTGCCTGCCTGGTTTTCTCGGGCTTGCTGTTCCCGAGCTCCACTCAAGCGTCGAAGAATTATAGAACGTAGAATTTTAGACACTGTGTCCATCAGGCTGATTCCTCTGTGGTTATCACAAGAGGACTTCTCACCTTTCTTGAAGACTGGAATAATCAGTGATTTAGACCAGTCAGAGGTTGTATTTGATCTCTATATACCAGTTAACACTTCCGTTAACCTAACTAAGAGTACTCTACCACCATCCTTGTATAAATCAGGAGTTAGTCCGTTTGATACCTCCGCCTTTCGTCGTTCCAAGTCACCTACCACTTACTCGACTTCTGCCAGTGTTGGGGGACCTATCCCAATGTTCCATTCAGGACCCGACTGGATAGTGGGCAACGCAATGGTGGCTGGAGGCCAGTTAGGTTGCTCCTCGAAGTCTTCAGTTTCTAGTTCCAGTCGTCTTCTCTGTGAGTGAATCGCAGATCCGTCCTTGTCCACTACGGTCTCACTAACCGCAGTCGACCTCCCCCCCCGTTTCCTCAATAAGTCTAAATAACTGTCTACTATTACCGATCGCCGCTGCTTTTCCCATCTCTTTAGCCTTCGCTGCCCACCACTTTTCGAGATCGTTGCGTAGACTTTTCCTCAATCTAATTTTAAGTTGCGCTCGCTCTTCATTATACTCAGAGCCTGCAGGAATGCATTCACGTGCATCCATTAGTTCGGAAGAAGCTGCTGATATCCACCGACTAATGTCTTCAACTCTGCTTTTACAGCAGACTGGAGATGGCACCAAGCTTCTTCTGGATGAGTGATAGTCTTCTGTTCCGATAACTGCCTAGCCAATTTCTAGCTGAACACAGCTTTGGTGTTTTCGTTGTCCAGCAGCACTCGCAGTGCTTTTGTGGCTAAATTTTTCTTACATCCATTGAGACGCAGGCATATATGCGCTCGGACCAACGCGTGGTTGCTATCCAAACACGTATTACAGAAGGAACGGCAGTCTCCCACTGATCCTCTCTAGCGATGACTAATAGCAATGTGGTCTATCTGTGTCCATCACTAAGTTGAACTCGGTGGACGCCATGTCAGACGGTGTCTTTGTTACATGTCTAAAATTTGTGCTAGCTAAAAATAGGCGGTTATCTGAGCACAGTTGTAGTAAACGATAACCGTTATCTGTACGTTCAGCCGTAACTCCGAAAGTCCTACCTAAGTGCCTTTCTACCTCAGTCTACCCACCTGTGCATTGAAGTCACCTACAACAACCACCACGTCCGAACGTTTGGCTTTCGAGAGGAGGTTAGACAGTTTTCGGTAGAACTCGTCTTTCACTTCATCCAAACTACAGTCAGTGGGTGCGTAAGCAGAGGTTACAAAGAGACAACGGCGAGTTTCACTATTCCTTTTACTTCTCACTGTGCTGTTCAACCAGACAGCGCAGAGGCGACTATCAACTGGGATCTAGTCTAGTAGTGAGCTATCTGCCCTAGTGCCAAATGCTATGCCTACACCTGCAAGACCCCGAGACCTAGCTATCGAATCTCCAGAAACTCGAAGGGTGAATTTTGCAGATTCACCAGAATGACCGAGAGAGGTCAGGTGAATAACCGCACTTCGGTCCTGTATGTGTGTCTCACAAACACAGCACATATTCATGGCCCGAGTTGCTAGAGTTTTTTCCACCGAAGCCTGTTGACCAATTTGACGAAGAGTGCAGATATTGAAGGCCCTGGTGTGTGATTTGGAGCTTGGTTTAAGGAAACCAGAGACGCGGTTCGGTGTATGTACATCGTTGTCGAAGGCTGCAGAGCTAGGAAAAATCGAAGATGATGTAGTGTATTGTTAATTGAGAGACTTGAAGGAAGATTGGAAGGTAATGATGGGCAAGGTGAATAGCAGTCTGAAGAAACTTGAGTGCTGACAGAATTGTGAGGGCGACTGACACTTCCCAGCTGCTTACACCGTGGAAGGCTATTTCTTCTTAAGGTACCTGAAAGAGATTTATGTGACCATACAGCGCGTCGGACATCTGCTTGAGGCCTGTCACACCCACCCTTTTGTGTATGGTTGTTTTGAGCTCTTGTTGTTTTGGGGCCAGATGGTCGAAAAGAAACTACAAATGAACCAAGACCCCCGGCCCAGCAGATCGTGGGGTATGGTGGAATGTGTTATTTTTGGGGCCGACCTTTTTCAAACTCACCCCCTTCCACTGAGAAGGCAGCATCAGCATGGTACTCTCGCTCATAGAAGGGAAAAACCTCACTGCTGTCATACTCCATCCAGCTAGTAACAGTACGACTTCGCCCCTAGACCCCCAGTGTTGTTTAGTAATTTACACCACAACGATAACTTTTTCGTCTAACCACTATCCAACAGACCTTGATGGCGTGGTAAGACCTCGAGGGAATAAGTGTTCTGCCAGCATAGCTCGTTCAGTCATTGTCATATACAAGTCCGACCACCACGTCAACGTAGCAGCTTTCGCTCGGGCAATCTTTCTACAGTTATAAGTTACTTGTGACGTACTACCACCGTTTAAGAACACAGGCTTAGCCTTCTTTGGTGACATATTTCGCCGAACATTGTGGACGATAGCTTTTTGTAGTGATGCAATGCGTTGTACCACCTCTGATGAGATGACGTCGATTTGAGTTCCAGTCCTTTGCACTTTTTCAGTGTCTATATCTTAGTGGAGACCAAAAGGATAAGCGATGGATGCGAACTGCTCAAATGCAGTATCGACTTCAATTAGCGTTGTGTTAGGCTGTTATTTTAATTGTATTGGACCTTGCTGAGTTATTGAGGTCTATGATAATATCACTTATACCTACAACAGGATATAGCCGGTGCAAACAGTTGTATGCTGGGGAGCATAGAAATCCACTGAAATAACATCGACATAGCGAATGAAACACCAAAAGCAAGTTCTATTTGGTGGACAGATGAGATATTTTCAATAATTTACAAAATGTGAGCACGAATATGGCAGTTTTATTACTTAAAATATTTTCACTCGCATTAGATTCTGGAACTTATCTTGGTAAGTGGGAAGTCATTTATATATCGCCAAAACAAAAGTCAGGAGCCAAGACCAGCGCCAGCAATTACAGACCGATTAACATAACCCCAGTTATTTCACGGATCATGGAGAAGGTGATTAATGACCAAATGTCAGACTACCTGCTAGAATCTAACCATAGCAACTCGTCACAATATAGCTTTCTGAAAACAAGATCACGCACCATAAGTCTCTTTGAATTTTTTAACGAGGTCGTCTACAAAAGGGATCAGATGCTGGTGATAATGCTTTACTTCGAAATCACTAAAGCATTTGACAGAGTTCTACACATCCTGCTTATTAATAGGCTGAGTTCTCTTGGAATCTGCAATCCACTCTTAGACTGATTAAAATCCCTTCCGTGTAACCGCTATCAAATAACAAAAGTTCGTTTAACTGTCTCAAAGCCTAAACCAATAACTAGTGGGACGATTCAAATCAGCGTTTTAAGTCTACTCTTTTAAGCTCATATCATTAGTATATGTGAATGTTTCAAAGTAGGTAAGCTATTTCTATATGCGGATGACCTGAAAGTAGTATACACATCCTTCAACATCGCTTAGCCTTCACTACTAACTCTATCCAGGAGAGAAAAAAAGTCAGCGTGAGGTTAGACACTTGGCGACTTAAATTTAGCACTGAAAAACGTGGTCGGCTATGCGCAGATGGCTGTGCTCTTGAATTAAACTTAGCAGTAACTGACCATTCACTATCGAAGTTGAGTTCTTTACTAAACCTGGGACTGATACTACAACAACCTATCCTTATTTAGGCACATATCCATACAAGTGTTGAAATCCTCCAAACTGGCAGGTTTCTCACTGTAAAACTTCCACAGTGACAAATCCAGAGTCATCCTGCATAAAACATGTGTCCGGCCACTGCTCGAATACTACTCGTTTATCTATAGCAGAATACTGATTGTGGATAAACTGAAAGTCGTAGAAGTGTAGAGGTATTTCATAGTGGGAATATTTAACACGAACACTGATGTAAAATATACCACCAGATGCAGCATCCTAGGATTTGAGCCACTGTGGAAACAAGGACAGACTGGGTTTGATACGATCTTATAAGCTTCCTAACAGACTGACATATTACGTGCATAAAGATGTGGTCCATAAATGAAACTGTTTGTGACTCAAGATAGACAAGAACAGAAGTAGCAAATGAACACTAAGACAGTCGCTAGGTAGGACTTCTTCGTGATTAAACATGCCCAGATGTGGGACAGTTTACCTATGGAAACACGTGAATCAATCTTGTTCAAGTTTACAAGACAGCGCAACTCCGATCTACGACTGTCGTAGAAAGCACCATAGCGATGCTCGTGTTACTACGTACATAACAGGGTCTTTTAATGCATAAACAATTTCTAATCATAAAGGTTCAAAAGCTATATCTGTTTTTGTTAACCTAAATTTCAGGTGGTAGCAGTATGAAATATCACTGATGTATAGGCAAATGAACTATGATGAATACGTAACCAATTTGTTAAGGATTTGAACACTGAATGAGGAAACATTTTGATGAATGATTTGGGGAACTGATATTATTTTGATAACATTCATCGATATCAACAGAACTCAAATGAGGATTTTTTTGGCTTATCCTCATCAACATAGCGCTTCTCAAAATACTAGACCTATGCTACCACGAAATTTAGTAGCTAAGATGCAGGAATTATTTGACTCATAGGTAAATACATTTATTGGGATCAGATAACTCTGTCACCGCATGAACATCTGTCCATCCTAAAATAACTTGTGTATTCTTACAGGTTGTTGGAGCAGTGAGCAAACCAATAATGATTAAAATGTGTGGGTTAACAATGGCTTACAACTCTTACTAAGCCCCTAACGATTTTTACTAAATGTTACTCACATTTCAGATGCAGCGCGCAAAGTTCAGCCCTTAATTGCTGCCACAGTGTTTACATCGAGGAATTACTCCAATCTTTGGTAAATGAAGACTAGTTGATCTCTATTTATTCACCCATCACCTGGGATAAATATATGTGTATATATTTATATGCATATGTATATATATATATATATATATACACTACTACAGTGAATGTAATTCCAGGAATAAGGGTTTGTAGAGTAATGACTAGAGAAGCAAACAAACGCAAACTTTACACTATGCCAATTTACATCAGGTTTATGGTGACCGCAGACTGACACCTGGTGTAAAACATTTCACACGAGACTACATATTGAATATTTATTATCACAACTTTGTAGCGTCACACTTGTGTTGATCCTTTCACACGATGGCCGGAAGCAGTACCTATTAAGGATATTACTGCCGAAACAGTAACTCGTGTTTTCGTTGAAAGATGGATCGCGAACTTCGGATGTCCATCTTACATGACAACCGACCGTGGGCGCCAATTTGTGTGTGGATCATTTCACACTCTTTTAGGTTGCACCCGGTTCCGAACGACAGCCTACCATCCACAAGCAAATGGCACAGTGGAGCGTTTCCATCGACAACTGAAAGCTTCCCTTTCAGCTGCAAACACCCCTCAGTGGACCGAGGCTTTGCCTCTAGTCCTGCTAGGTATTCGTAACGCCTTGAAAGTTGATGCTGGATGCACCTCCGCACAACTCGTCTATGGGACCACTCTTTGCCTACCAGGTGAGTTTGTTTCCCCTTCAACTTTCAAACATGTTTCCGACGGAGCATCTTACGTGACTAGGCATACAAACGCAATACGTCCAGTAAGACCTTCTCCGATTAGACCGCAAACGACTGATGTTTTCGTCCACCCCAGTTTACAGAAGACATCACACGTGTTTGTTCGCCACGACGCTGTTCGTCGACCACTTGAACCACCCTACGACGGGCCATTCAAAGTGATCAAGCGACACGAGAAATTCTATATAATTGAGCGAGACGGATGTCAAGATACTGTCAGTATCTACGTTTGAAACCAGCTTATTGCGAAGGCAACCCCATTATAAGTGACGTTTCAGCTCGCTACATCCGACCGGCGGATGACTCAATTATCGAAATTCTTGACGATGTGCCTGGTAATGCACAGCGGCAACAACCATCGGCGCAACAAAAAACACGATCAGGTAGAACCGTCAGGTTCCCGGAGTATCTGAAGTCATTTTTAACTTAGCGGTGTGCGTGCCAACCATACATTTCCATCGAGGCACTATTTTTCTGATTTACCGGCAATGCACAAACCCTCGTACACTTTGTCCTATTATACCAATTTTCATTGCCGTATAATAAAACTTTTAAAACAACGCTGAAGATAAGCGTAAACTCTTATTTTTCGATATGTTTATATATAAATAATTCCCATTTTTACGAAACATTTCATGGTATTTAAGACTTTTATTTATATTCCAGGTGCAACGAGCACCGAACGGAACGTCAAAAGCAACTGAGGACCGCGACCACCGTACAATTTCATTTATTGTATTTTATTTATTTAATTGCCAAGATACCCTAGAATAAGTTCAGACAACCAGGGGCCTCTGCACGCAGTGGGCCCATCGGAAGAGTTCTACCAGTGGAGAAACCACTGGGTTTTTACCTCCGGCTGGTATCGTCTTAGGGTCCTCACGAACCCACTGGGGGGGGAGTGATCTGTAGCGTCACACACTTCCCCAAAATCAATAGCCTAGCGTTCGACGACTTCGACATTGATGCTGACCCTCATAGTTTAACTGGACTCGCTAAGCTGAAGGCACCCGGTCAAGCATCCTGACCATTTGGTACACCGTCGTGTTACGTTGCACTGTTCGTACTCGACTCCATAGCCAGTTAGTTGGAACGCATCGGTATCTTGGCACAACTATCCAAATATACTACTCCACCCAACTACGCTATCGAGTTCTTCCTTGGTCTCGTATTCGTGGGTATATAACAAGTCCGAATAATTAGTGATTGGTCTTTGCGTCTGTCAATTTCGCACCAGGAAAAATCATAAAACTTCATGCTTCAAGTGGCTTACTGAGTAGTCTTCTATGTTTCTGTTATGCTCTATCAGGATACGGCAAAGGTTTCGTGCTTTTGACAAAGTAATCAAGCAGTCTGCTATTCTGTGTCTTTCTTGTGGTGAAAGGTATGTTGTTTGCATCTGATCCATGGCATGAAATGCTCTCAAAGCGGAGTATTTCTCTCCTAATTTCATCGGCTTTCGTCGTTTTCCTCTACAAGGATAACACTGTCTCCAGGATGAACCCAGTGGGAGCAATCACGTTCTGAGCGTGGCCAATAATCTTGTAAATCATATCTGGTGCTTAAAACAGATTACGACCATTGAATAAATCTCTGTAGGCAGAGCAACTTATGAGCGTTGAGGGGGGTTCCCACCAAGCATTTCCAAGGTTCTTGGTTTGGTCATTCTTCAGCACTGGTTCATATGCACTCCTACCAGTTATTAGAAGTGGTAGAGTACAAAGCATTATGCTATGACCATTATTTATAAATTTCTCATCTATCTGGACAGATAATGGTTCATTTTTTGGCAAAGTATTATGTCAGGAGTGTTATGGTCTTGCGTGTGGTAATGCACGTATTTCTGCGTGTCAATGGCTGTCAAAAGTTCATAATAGTCTGTGTGACCAGTACATCCCAAGTTGGGGTCAACCCAGACAATCTCAGAATCAAAATCTGGAGCAGTGTTTTGCTAAGATGGTCCGCAGATGACCCCATCAACTGCCCTGTGCTTGGGGCCTTACTTACGCGTGTGATAAGGAGTTTGCGTTTACTGATGCTTGCAGTTATGCACTTACATTCAGGAGTTCTATCAAGCTCAGTATCTGAGGTGTCTGTGACCATGAAGCTTGACGCAGAGATAAGCGGTACACCTTTTTAGTAGACTCTATTGCGTCCGTATAGTGTGCTTTGCGCTATATGAGCCCGTTATGTTTGAAGTTTTCCAGATCTCTGTTACTAGAGCCGGTTTGGTTGCTACAAGATTACTAGGGTTAAAATAGCCGATATTTTACTGAGAATCGCAGCGTCATACTATCTGTTATTTCAAACTTGGTGACACCCAGCGTAAGGCCATTGAGGTAAGGCGTTTTACTGAGGCAGTGTTGGACAAGAACGTCTTCCTCTTGAGATTTGTCATTTATTCCTTGCACCGCAGTGCATACACTTTTGTCGAATACAACCTAATGTTTAAGGTTTTTCCTCTAAAGTAGTGTTCTATCATGGGCTATATTAATACCTCAAAACATATTTTCGAGTCTAGCACCAACTTATGACGAAGCGAATTGTTTGCAGTTGTAGCGCCATACACTTCAACAAAATCAATAGCCTAGCGTTCGACGACTTCGACATTGATGCTGACCCTCATAGTTTAACTGGACTCGCTAAGCTGAAGGCACCCGGTCAAGCATCCTGACCATTTGGTACACCGTCGTGTTACGTTGCACTGTTCGTACTCGACTCCATAGCCAGTTAGTTGGAACGCATCGGTATCTTGGCACAACTATCCAAATATACTACTCCACCCAACTACGCTATCGAGTTCTTCCTTGGTCTCGTATTCGTGGGTATATAACAAGTCCGAATAATTAGTGATTGGTCTTTGCGTCTGTCAATTTCGCACCAGGAAAAGTCCTAAATTGTTGAGCTCAACGTGATCAAATATCCCGACCTGATCACACATACCGACCGATAACAAATATTGAATTAATGAGCCTGTTCCATTTTGTATTTGTTTATTGTTGTCATGTCGATAACATTTATATATCCATTTACTGCACTTTCTCATGTCCAACCACACTCCCTAGCTTATTCGCATTAAGCCGACTACGAACACGATCCAACTCGTGCCATATTGGCCAGACAATGCGGGAACATGGTTTCTGTATGCCAAGGCCGATTTTCGAGAACAGGGCGTCTCAGATCCTCATTCTCGATTTCTTGCTGTCATACGTTCACTACCGCATGAAGTAATCAGGTATGTTACAGCACATATGTTTAATCCTGAAGTGAGTGATCCTTATGCACTTCTTCAGGCCGCACTATTGAAGAAAAGTGATCTGACAGATCGCCAGGGCCTAGATGAATTACTTCGTAACATCGAGCTAGGCAGCCACTCAGCTACTGAAGTCCTCGGCGCCCGAACATTCGACAATGGCCTTTTCCGAAAACTGTTTCTCTCAAAGCTACCCTAACCGGTGCAAACCGTGTTGGTGACACTCCAGTCAGTCCCACTCGACGACCTGGCAGCCTCAGCAGACAAAATACTGGAGGTTTCCAGCAGACCCGTTTCCAACGTATATTCTGTCTGCGACAAACCAGAGCGCCAGGATTCAGAGGTGACAAAGCTGTGCAACTTCGTGAAACAGTTGCTACGATCTCTAAGTCGTAGCTCACGTAGCACTTCAAAGAAAAGCACCTTGGCGCATCGCAGCAACTCTCGTGGTAGCCTCAAAACTCAACCTAACAGGGTGGAAAACCCTGAATGGTGCTGGTTTCGTAACACTAGCGGAGACGAAGCCAGAAAATGTCGTAAACCATGCCGTTTTAAGAAGGACACAAACTCGGGAAACGGTCACACCGGCACGTGTTCACGGCAACCGTAGCCGGCGGAAGCAGCCGTTTGCTCTACGTCATCGACATTAAAACAAAAGTCCGCTACCTCGTCGGCACTGGCGCAGAAGTTAGCGTTCTTCCCTCACCGAAAAAGGAGCGTCATTACGACCCATCCTTCAATCTTCAAGCAGCCAACGGCAAGGCAATCGCGACATTCGGGAGAGGGTATGCCTACCTCAACTTAGGTTTACGTTAACCTATCCACTGGATTTTCCTCCTGTATGACGTCTCTATGCCCATCATTGGCGTAAATTTGCTAAACCATTACGATCTAATCGTAATTGTTCTCCGTCGACGTCTGATAGACAACGACAAAAAG